TGAATACTTTTCGACCACTGTAGAGTACCTCTACAGTTTCTTCTATGTATCAATATTCAGCGCTATTTAATGATTATGATTAACGGCCGCAGAAATAGTTCTTCGAAATATTTCGAAATGAACAATCGACGCTTCACTTTTTTCAGCCCGTGGAAACGAAATGAAAAATATGAAGATGAACTTTAATAAACTGAAACGGAATGAATATATTTCACTTTTCAAATTTAGAAAAAGAAAATGAATATCCATAAAGGATGAAAGAAAATGAATAAATATTCAAATGTTGCGTAACAGCCATTTCTTGAAAAAAGACCGAATTCCATCGCACCACTACTGTCAGTAGTAGTATTACCCAAAATACCAAAAGGTGTGGGGTGAAACAAAGAGTGTACACACACAACACTACTGTCAAGAGTTAGTGATAACGGTTTTGACATTGTTAGAAGGAAATCACAGGCCTTTGCTGCATTTTGTTTTAAATCTAACTGTTCCAATATTTTATACAATATACTTCGATCATTTGCATTCATAGACATATTTTGCATTTGGACCGATTCATTGTCGTCCATCAATGCTGGAGGATACGGTGGTCCCCAAATTCGACAATTTTGTACAAATGCCTTCGCTATTCTGATCTGAATAATCTTTTCCAATGCTCCAACTTTATCTTCACTCAATCGACTAACAATTAAAATGTATTGATCTCGTAAGACAATGTTAACATCGAAGATTTGTAAGAAGAATGAGATTGTTTCTGTATTCGATGCTGATTCAAGACGTTGCGAAAGATATTTATCTACTCGTTGATAGGTACAATCTTCGTCGTGTATGGAAGGATGATTCATTGGACTGCTCAACAGACCTGTTATCATAAATAGTACGATGATGATGATGAATTTCATTATTGTTGCTTTACAGTAATTACTTCCGATTTGTGTGTATATGAGAAATTTGTATTGAAGAATGTGTGCGACTGACATTCTTTCTCTTTATAAATAAGTTTTATGTATGACTGTCAATAATTGTATTTTCTGTGGAGTGATGATTGTTCTCAATTTTACTTGCAGTTCTATATGTTTTCGAGTGTTTGATGATAAAAAATGAGTATCAATTATAAAATATTTTAAGCCTACTCGATAGGCAATGAAGACTGTCGAATGAGTAATAAAAGATGAAAGAACTGTTCGCTACAAAACTTTATAAAAAGTGGCCCTTAAAACCTTGTATCTTGGGTTTCAACTATCCGGCAACAGCAGAGATGGGCGAGTCAGAGGTTTTTCAAGTCGCAAGTCAAGTTAAGTCATCATTCATTTCTTTTTAGATCAAGTCAAGCCAAGTCGACTTGAAATTTCAAGTCATTTTTTAAGAACCCTTAAATACATTTAGAGCTACTTAACCTTGAGTTAGGTGCCGGGAAGGACCGATAGTACGGTCGATGATGCAGCTTTAGCCAGAGTTGCGCTAAAAACAACTTTCGGCTGCACCACTAAAGACAGTAAAACGGATACGCAGAACGTGAAGAAAACGAAATACTAAGCGAATATCATTTAATTCGAAAACAGGACGTGACGTGATTATTACTACTTGTTACCACGTTCATTTCATTGATCATATAAGCCATACAAGCAAAAAAAACAAAATAAACAGCCGTGAGCTATCAATGATTTTTCATTTCATCTTTTATCTTTCTAATTAATAATTATTTTTTCACCACTTCAACAAGTGAATAATTTACCCGTCGGAAGAATTTCTCTTTTCAGTCTCAGAAAAGAATAATCACCCTTTTGATTAAAGGAAAAAACCTTGGTTTTGGTACATATTGCAGTAAAAAGAAATTCAGTTTTCTGGCAGTGTGGTAGAGTGACAACCGTGTGAGACAGTATACAAGCAGAAATACAGTTTATAGTTTTTTTGAGTCACCAGTTTGTTTGTGAAAAAAACTGATCTGAGGGAGTTTTCGAATTTGTTGGTTTTAAGTAGGTATTTCTGAAATTTTCATGCATTTCAGGCCGTGGGGCTGTTCAATTCAGCGACCTCACGAAGTGACCTGTACAAAAATATCCGCAACCAACTCTAAAGTTCTTTTTATTAATAACATTAGTGCTTATTGACGGTGTGCTTAAATGTCGTGTAAAACACCTCCAGTGCAAGCGTTTTATTGAAAATTAAAGGAAGAGTGGAAGTTTAATGGGCAACACAAAGTGTGATATCACACGTTTCAGACACAGGATGAACATAAAAACATTTGATGTGAAGATTACTGTTCATTTAAATGCAACATTTCAGTTCTTTGCGACTTCTGAGATGTATCTGTTAGACAGCATAGGGTTTCCCAGGCAAACTTTTTCTGCGAAAAAAACGCGTTAGAGTTCGTTTAAAT